TTCCACAGTTCCACATCGTCACAGAAATCATTACACATCCTCATGTACAAACTGCCTTCCTCATTTGTGAAAATGACGTAAACCTATCAAATTATCTAGTTCATGTTTAAATGAGCCAGTTTATTATTTGGTGATGTAATCTTAAGCTAAGCTTTCATGTTTATAGCAATGTTTAATAGAAGTGCTAAATCAAAGTTGCCACACTGAAGCATGCAGTGTTACATAAGTTATATTAGTTTGCAGCTACCCAGATCGTCATAGCTTGAGAGCTCAAACATCATTACAGCTCCTTTCACATCTTAAACGAAAATCTACGAACAAATCCTAAAGACTACTCTTGGTACTCGAAGTAAAATGGCTACATAACATATCATTGATGGCATCCGTTGAAGTTTATTCCAGAGTCCTAAAGTTCTCATGTTGGACAACACAAGGAAATGCAATATTTTCTTAAATTATTTAAAGCTTTGTTTTGCTTGTACATCTCCCCACAGAAGTTGGCCTGGCATCCTTAGAATTGTAACCTCTGTGCTTAAGAAGCATTATTTTCTTTCCCTAGGAGAATTGCTTTTAATATTCTTAACTCTCCTGCTTAAGTCAGTCCCAAAGGAGGGAAAAGCAAACAGGTGCAATTTGCAGCTGTTACAGGTTCCCTGCAGGGGGGTCATGAATGTGCCCACAGCCTGCAGGTGAAAAGGCAGCTCCCAGGTTCTCAGGATGTATTCCAGTTATGACACGCAGAAGATCTGGGACTGCATCCCAAATTACCGGGGACAGAGCACCAGCACCCACAGAGGTTAGTGTTAACCATTCCTGGCTACCAGGTAGCTGCCACGCCACTCCAGCTTTCCTTGGATAACTCAGCCTCACACACTCACGTGCACACACACACATTCACACACAATATCTGCTCACACATAAGCTTATGAATATCTATTCCACATCATATGACACTCTTGAAACAAAAGCCCTAGAGCACAGCTTATTCAGTCTAATAAGCTACCCTCAACTGAGGAAAGAATCCAATCAGAAGAATGAGAGACTGCAGATAGTCCCCCAACATCTGTTTTCCCTGATTTCCTCCATAACAGAAAACTAAGTTTATTTAAGTGACAAAGTATCCAGCTAAAGTCTACTAGCCAGTTCCTAGAGATAGGAAACAACCTGCCACAAACATGGTTTTCAAACACACAGCAGCAAATCCAAAGCCCACACCACGACTTCCTCCTCTGTGGGCCTCTCATACCCAGGCACTCTCCCCCTGACCTCATCACCCAGGGCCTGGGACCAGACAACTAGGGAGACCCCGTCCTCCAGAGCCTGCTGACATTATTCACACTAGCCAGTCCTCAGCCTGGCCTGTTCCTTCCACAGAAACCATAACAGTGGCTCTTGCCCACATTTTCCCCTCACCCGCTCTGCACCCTGACCCATCCATGTGGCCCTCTGTGACGTGGTGTGCCCGCTCTCCTTAGGAACTGTGAGTGACAAACTTTTCAAAGGCAATCATCTCCTGATCTGTCAGCCTTAGTATGCCTCACATTTTCCATTAATACACTACATTTTAAAGCAGTGGGTGAGGGAGGAGGCAGTCTGGGCATGCAGCAGGCTGTCAGGGTTGATGCTCTGAACGGAGCAGGGGAATGACACTTGGTGTCCTTTGGAGGAAACTCCTCTGATGTGGGAGGATGTGTAGGCTGTGCTTAGGGCCCAGGAAAGGAAGGCAAAAGTGCAGGAGGAGGGAAAAGAATCAGGGCAGCAGTGTCTGGGCACTGTGTGTAGGGGGGACGACTGAAACCACCACAGAGGGTGGTAAGGAGAGGCAGTGCCACCAGCAGATCGGAGGAAGAGGGGTGGACCTGGACCTGGTCTTGCTCCCCAGACTCAGGGGCGATGGATCTGGGGTGTGGAGGAGGCGCCATTTGTCACCTGAGTATTTCTCCAGGGCTGTACCTGTCCCAGAGGATGGGGACACGGAGGACACGGTTTGGGCAGAGTTGCACTGTGTTCTCCTTCCATTACTTTTTTCCTTTTATTTCTCTCTCCCTACATGTCACCCACATTCTTTCCTTCTCTTCATCATTGCGTGGCTCTTGATTTTTCTCATCCTTACATCGCTCTCGGCCCACCCTGGACAATGAGTGCTATGCACAGTGAGCTGTCATGCAGGCGTGGGCCTTGGTGTCTGCTGAGGCTCTCAGCCACTGCCATAGTGGAATTTGCAGGAATTACACTGAATTGTTTGGGTTCTAGTTGCTGACAAGGTCAAGATCAACAATGGGATTTAGAAGGTAAATGGTGGCTAAACACTCACTCTCTCCTGGCTCTTGCCCTCCTCTGTCTCTTACTCTGGGCTCTTGCTGCACCTGCCCCTTGTGGGTCCTCAGGAACCATTCCTGCCTTCCACTTGGCTCTCTAGGTCTCACCTCTGTGGGGCTACTGCAACTCCTGGCATCAGCTCCCCCCTTGAGGCAGACATCTCCCAAGCCAGGCCAGGACCCTTCCCACCCACCTTCTGCATCTCCACAGGGAAACCCTTCAACTCAAGTCCTAATGCAAACTCAGGACCATCTCTTCCAAATCCTGGCTTTCTCCTGAGTTGTCTCCTCAGACTGTCTTCCCACATCCCCCCCTCATCCCCTGCTCTCCCTTCCTCATGCTCTCCTCACTCTTTTCAAATTTTCTCAGTCCCAAGTCACAAGATCATCTTTGACTCCTCTTATTCTCCGTTCCACACATCTCCTCGGCTGCTACCTTTCCTGATGCTCTCAGCATAATGTCGTTCAGACTCACTGCTGATTAATACTTCCTTCCACTGGTTTAGTTCTGGCTTTTATTCTCTCTCACAAAAACCACTGTAGAAGCTCCTTGCTGACCCAGCTCACTCCTTGCTCTCCTTGATCCTGAAAAGCGCAGGTAGTACACTGGGACGAAAAGTCACTTCTACTCAAATTGCGCACAATAATAATGGCAGCAAACATTAAACCATGGTCTGAGCGAGGCCCTCTTCTAAGTGCTCTCACACTCATTTAGTCGTCACAATGACCATCCTACAGCTGGGGAGACTGAGACAGAGCAGTCTCATGATCAGCCGGCAGGAGCAGCCAGACCAGGCCTCCGTCTCTGCTGAGTGTTCCCCACTGCGAGAGCCCAGCAGTGCCTCAGCACACAGCACTAGGGGCCCACCATGAAAAGGGTCCAAATTGGACTTCTAGAGTCACCACTCAAGGTCACATCATGTGGCGATGCCGTCAGACACCTGGGAGGAAATCTGCCCTTGTACAAGATCTCTCACTAAGTTAGAGATAAGGCTGGAAGCCCAAGAGTACGTCTCAGGTGTGTCTCCAAGCCCCCAACAAGAGTGCTTAAGGACTGTCGGCACACGGAGAATGTTCAATGAAAGAAAGGCACGGAAAGGAGGAGGAAGGAGGCCACTGCCATTTCTCTCTCCATGTCAAGGCCACCATGTCACAGGGAGGGAAACAGACACCAATGCTGATGACTCCCGCATTTGGACGCCCACGATTCCATTTCATGATGAATCCTTTATTCTTTATCTCAATATTACGGAAATGTATCCAGGTTATTTCTTATAGGAAAATACCAACTTTACAAATTATTTTTTTAATGTATTAAGTCCATTGTTTCAGTGAATAACCCATAAGCCATTTCTTGCTTAATATCATTCTATACTTCCTGTTCACTAAGAATCCATCCTCACCTTATTACACACTATCAGAACTAGAACTCAGAAGCGAGCGAAACTGTTCAGCACACGGATCATACCAGTTAGAGGATAGCTCTTCCTATGTGCTTCGTCCTGCTGGCTCTTCTAGCCTCCTTTAGTAAACCTCGTGAAAGGCAAGCAGATAAACTCAGACATAAATCACCCAACAATCAGGCATGGGCTATAACACTTTATGTAAGCATTCATAAAGGTTAGGGAGTGTGAAATATTATTTTTCCTTTGATGATCCTTATTAACAGTGAGCAGAGTACACACTGACAACAGTTTCCAGTAGGTCTGTCTGACAAGTGATTGACCTGCGCAGCAAGCAGCAATGAGGTGACCGTCCCAGCAGAGCCCGACTCTGAGCCACTGCAAGACTGACGTTCACTCCCCAATATGGCTTCTGAATCCAAGCATTCAATAGCTATTTTCTCCATAAAATAAAACTATTTCAGCCTAACGTATATGACTATTTAACAAATCTCTGCTTGTGAATTCTAACATTAAAAACACTGAATAAATAAAAATGAAAAGAGACTAATCAACATATATTAATAAATTGTTCTATATCAAAAATGACAGATTAAACAACAAGTTAAAAGGAAATTAAAATTTTAAAAATAGCTTAGGCAACACTGAATTTAAAAACAAGTTATACTGGGACATAAAAATGCTCATAGAAGTTGATAGCAAAATCATTAAGATTCTATAAGGTAAATGGAAAAAAGACCTGAAAAGACAATTAACCAGGAAGAAATCAAAGGGATTAATGTGCTCACAAAAGTCTTTAGTCTTCATTAGTCAAAATGAAAAGCAACCGCAACACCTCTCTTTTACTCTCTTAATTAATGGAGATTTTTTAAAAGTACAGCATTCTGTATAGTGACACAGGCACCCTGATGCACTCTGGATGAGGCACACATTGGTACCACCTTTTCATAAGGTATTTTGCTTTAACAAGGGTATTTTTTGTCCTTTCTTCATCTTGACTCTGTAATGTATTCTCAACCCTCCCGTGTCCCTACAATGGGAGTATACGTCCTGTGGGAAGGAGACAGTAAAACGTTGTTGGGAAAATGCTGGGCTCTGTGTGTGGGAGAGCGCACTAGCTCTGATACCACACACACACGCCTTCCCTGCTCAGGACTTCATCTCCTTCCCTGTGCCATGAGGCAACTGGACCACGCTGTTTCCAAAGCATTTCCAGTTACAACTGCATCATGCCATTGATTGACAGCAAACATTTAAACGAGAAGAGAATGCAACGTACCTATTCTTAAGGTGCTGAGGAGAGCCAAGGCACCTGAAGCTACCGTTGACCATTATAGCAAGTCTTGTGCAAAGAGCCTCACACTCCTCCATGCTGGGAGAAGAACACAAGAAACACATGAGGAGCCCTGTCCAAGGTGCCAGGCTTGAATCAAACAATAAAATTAACAAGTAGACAAAAAGATCATTACTGAAAAATCAGCTCATTTTCTATATAGAAACCTCATGAAACCCAAAAAAGCACTTTTAAATGAACAAGATTTTAAATAGGTAGCCAATTACACAATTAAAAAAAAGCATTAGTAGCATTTCCATATACATATCAGGAATAACAGTTATAAAATATATAGGAAAGAATATTTTAGCAATAGTATGAAAATACAAAATAGATAAGAAAGATCTTCACAAAAAATGTGAAACTTTTATGAAAAGAAACAAGATTTACTAATGGATCTAAAAGAAATCTTGAATCAATGGAAAGATGGGTCAAAAAAAGGAAAATAATGGATATTTAAAAAATGGGAAATTATAATATGAAAATTAATGTAATATAAAAATTATTGTAATATAAAATAACATTAGTACATGTAAGTGTAAATGTAAATATGATAATATAACATGAGTATAAATATGAAATGTAATAAGTAAATGAATTATATAAAAAATATAAATGTTATATTTTAATATAGTATATAATTTAATATAAAGTAAAATATAATAATTAATATTGTAATTTGTAATTACAATTTAGTTGGTAATATAATTTATTATTTTGATATAAAATGTTATAAAGATTTATAATTTATAACTGTATTATTATAATTATATAAAAATATAATATAAATTATAATGAAGATATAGTATAACGTTAACCAAAATTTGAAGTTTATCACTCTCCATGAGAAAAACTGAAAATAATTATCAAGTGTATCTTTAAAATTACTTAATGAGACGTAGAAAAACATTGAACAAGAAGAGTAATGAGAAGACTTCCTCAGAAAATATTAACATTTGTTGTACAGCTCAAATATTTAAAATGAGGCAGCATGCTAAGGAATTACAAGGCAGATCATTGGAACAAGATAAGACAGTGCAGAAGGAGACACTAATATCGTAAATCATAAGTGATCAGAGGACGGGAACATTCTTTCTAAGCATAACAGAAATGAAAAACACTATGAAAGGAACGTTTGATACACTTGATAATGCAAAACTACAAACTCCTAATAAGTGTTCCAAAACACAGCAAACTAACATTAAAAAATTGCAACAAACACAATGGTGAGTGTTGATATACTCACTACAAAGAACTCATCTACGTTAGTGTAAAAGCAAAACAATAAAAACCCAAAAGACGAAGAAAAACAAATAACATACAGAGACTATTCAAAAAACTGTTTGTGGGTAATAAACATACCAACAAATTATACACTTAACCATCAAATAAGTGATCTTAAAACTATTTTCTAGCTAGAAAGGCACTTGTCATGTGGCTTTTGTATGTTGCAGAGGAAAACACTATTTTTTCCCTCTCCAGTGCAAATAAAAACAATGTATTCTCGGATCAAAAAAATACCCAAAAAGTTAAAGACATTCTCTCAATAATTCTAAATAGGTCATCTCATGCACTGCTGGTGGGAGTAAATAATTGGCATAACTTTCTGAAAACCAATTTGGCAATAATCCCTTTTGTAGGAACTTACTTTAGGAAACAGAGAATATGAGTACATATAACAACTTATTTATAATAGTAAAAATCTAGAAACAGGTTTCACAGTAGGATAATATAATACTCATATAAATGAGAGTGCATCCATGCGTTAGCCATTAAAATGAGCTTTTCTAAAGTCAATTAATTACATGGGGCAAAGGTAATCATATAGCAATGGTAAAATGACAATGCATATTAGGAAAATTGCACATGTATGTGAAAAAAAACACACAAAAAATGTGCGACTATCAATATCCAAAAAGTAAAATTAATGGTGGAATTTCTTTCATTCTTTCATCATGTTGTATTATCCAAACTATCTATAGGAAGCAGATATTATTTTTACTACTGAGGAGTGGACCTAAAGCAGTCTGCTCATTGGGTCAATGTATGTTCAGACCAAGATTACATTTGTCAGCCTTCCATGCAGCTAGAGGTGGACCTGCAACAAATCAGGTCGATGTGAAATACAATTTCTGGGTCATGTCGAAATAAGGCAAGCCTCTTGCCCTGGATTTTGTTTCTTTCCACTTTCCACGCATGAGCTGGGATGGGGACACAGAGCTAATGAGTCAACTTCAACCATGAAGATGAGGACAAACTCACAGATGAATAAGCAACATTTTGGAAAAGACCCGGGTCCTTGGAAGACCTTGGGCTATAGCATAGCCCACCAACATGAATTCTTAATGTGGGAGAGAAGAATACCTCTGGTCTGAGCCACTGCAATTTGGGGTCTTTGTTACAGAAACTTAACATGAAGTCTAAGGAATACACAGTATACACATTCAAAATATGCTTTATATATTTTTCTGGGAAAACACGTCTTTATGTTTCTTTAATTACTTTTAATCTGAAACAATCTTATTATCATTTTTATGAGTGCATGGTAGATACTCTAATTAAAGTGGTAGAATATGCAGTCACATCTATATTACATCCTTAAACATAGTTCAGATGAGTTGAGATCCAAAAAATAACTGATATTAATTAAGGCCTCAGAGTAATGACTTGGTAGTTCCAACTGAATAGTCATTAGCTATCAAACAAATATGTTCCAAACACGTGGGATACCACAAAATCTCAGCCTAGAGGATACAGGCTGCAAGATTCTGATGATCTTCAGCACCAAGAAGAATATACAAAGCCAGGAGCTCTGTAAAAATGAAAGTAATCCCTGACCATTTACTCAAAAAATGAACACCATACTTCCTTTGGGTGCTTAAGCTAACTAGAACAGAACTATGTCAGGTGATGCAGATATTTAAGGACTTATGTTGGAGCTCATGGATCAGTGTTTGGTAGGTGAGGAAGAAGCAGTCACAGTCCTTCTTGGTTGGACTAATTTTAATTTCTCCTAATGAGTACAGCGGGATATAGTGTTCTTACCCTCAGTTTCCTGCCCCATGCTTTCACCATGATCCTCTAGGGTAAAGAATAAGGAGAGGAAGGGAGAGATGAACTTGAAGTTAAGAGGGAACTGTGAAATTTCGAGATTTCTTCTCAGCTGACGGCTGCTGTTTTAGAATCACAAAATCAATCACAGGCTGCCCTAGTAATCATTAATAGTGAATCATTTAGATCTTAGTATTGCATGAATATGGACAGATTTATGGAAATGAAGATGCATCGTTAATGTGAAACCAAAGGAACAGGAGGACATAAAAGAGAAATTACAGTGATATGTGGTCTGAGAACTGTCTGCAATAATTATATGTTATATGAAAATTAAAAGGAATTTTTAATGTGACACAAGTTTATCCACTCTTAGAACCTACACATGATGTGAGGACCTAACAAATGCTAGCAAACTGAATACAGGAATGCAGAGAGTTTCTGGAACTGGCAGAGTAAAAGGATCATTTTAAGCAAGAACATATGTATATTATTATAAAGTAAAAGATTTGTCAAATTTAATCCATTCCTAATGTAAAATTGTATTTTCTGAAGAGAAACAGAACAAAGACAACAAAAAGGCAAGGGCAGGACTTCTGGCTATAGCCAAGTGAAGAACTGGCAAATCCTTTCCCCAAAAAAACAACTATAAAACTGGACAAAATGAACAAAAATAACCATTTTAGAATTCCAGAAATTGATCAAATGCATACAATAATCTGAGAAACACTTATAGTCGGCAAACTGCTAAATTTAGGGTAAGAGGGGTGGTAATCTGTGGCATTCTAGCCAGCAACATGAAGCTACCAGCAAGGTAGGCAGACCATGAGGATCAGCAGCTTCTCCGCCACCACTGAAGGGGATGCACCAATTTGGACCATTGGGCAACACCCATTCCCAGTAACATTGCTGGTATACGTGTCTCTCTCAGAGCCAAGCAAACAGGAGCAGCCAACCGCTCCAGCATCTGACCTGAGGTGGGCTCCCCAGACTGGCACTGTGTGGTTGCAGCATGCATATAGCCCAGTAAGGCTGACATGTACGTGCAGTAGAGGCCAGAGAGGCCCAAGCCAGCTACACACTCCATATCAACCCACAGGCTATCCACACGCACATTCCAGAGACTAGAAGAACCCAAGAGAAAGCAAACTGGGCCAATGAGAACATGGCCTGAACTTGGAATGTTCTTCCTTGTCCACATACCGATACACTGGCAGAGGACAGAAATTTTGTCGGTTTGAGGTGAGCAAGCACAGTCTCTGCCCAGGCACTGGCTGGCAATTAGCCTGTGCAAGATAGGGGTGACTCCTAGGAATCCAGGCTTGAAAAAATGAAAACAAAATTTAAAAACAAACTGAGCAGAGGCAGCAGGAGCTACTCCCCGCAGAGGAAGGTGTTTTCACAGATTTATTCCAGGCAAAGAAACACCAACAAACACACACACAAGAGGAACAAACAAACTGGCAACAACAATAACCCTGGGAGAGGTAGAGGAATCAGAACCCAGAGATGCTACAATGTATTATCTAAAATGTCCAGTTTTCAACAAAAAAATTACAAGACATCCAAAAAAAAAAATCCCAAGAAAGTGTGAGCCATACTCAGGGGAAAAAGCAGTCAATAGAAACTGTTTCTAAGTGTCCCTAGATGCTGGATTTAGAAGAAAAAAATCTCCAATGAAGCCACTATAAATACGTTCAAAGAACTAAAGGAAACCATGTTTAAAGAACTAAAGTATGACAATAACATTCAACAAATAGAGATTCACAAGAAGATGGAAATCATATAAAAAAGACCCAAACGGAAATCTTTTAGTTGAATAGTACAATAAATGAAATGAAAACTTGACTACAGGAGCCAACAGCAGATTTGAGATGGTAGAACAAAGAGTCAGTGAACTTGAAGGTACATCAATCTGAGAACAAAAAAAAATAAGATTGAAAAGAAATGGACCGAAACTCACAGATCTGTGGAACACCATCAAGAGTTCCAATATACACACATTGAAAGGACCAGTGTATGGACAAAGAAAAGGAGAGATGGAAAGAGCCAGAAAAAATATTTGAATAAATAATGGCCAAAATGTCCGCACATTTATTGAAAAACATTAATCTACACATTCAAGAAGCACAATGAATCCCAGGTAGGATAAATAAAAAGAGACATAACATCTAGACACATCAAAGTGAAACTGTTGAAAGCCAGAGAAATCTTGAGAGAAGCAAGACAAAAATGACCCCTCATGTACAAGAGAGCATTAGAATTATTAATGGCTGAGATCCTATAAGAAACAAAGTAGGGGAGAAGACAGAGAAATGACATATTCATTAGGAAAATGTGAATTAAAACCACACTTCACTGAGATGGCTAAAATAATAAGGACAGACAGTGTTGACAAGGGTGTGGAGAAACTAGAAACTTCATCATTGTTCCTGGGAATTTAAAATGATATAGCCACTTTGGAAAACAACCTGCAGTTTCTTAAAGTGTTAAACACAAACTTACCATACAACCAGCAATTTGACCCCTAACAATCTAGCCAAGAGAAATAAAAACATATATCCATACAAAGACATTTATACGACTATTCATAGCACATTATAGATAACAGCCACACACTGAACAAATCCAAAGGGCCATCAACTGGTGCATGGATAAACAAAATGTGGTATAGATCCACAATGGAATATCATTCCACAGTGAAAACAAGCACAATAAATATATACACTACAACATGGATGAACCTCAAAAACATTACAAATGAAAGCAGTCAGATACAAAAGACTGCACATTACATGATTCCATTTATATGAAATATCCAGAAAAGACAAGTTTATAGAGACAAAGTCTGGGGATTTGAATGGGGATTAACTGAAAACAAGCATGAGAAAATTTTGAAGGTAATGGAAATGTCCTAAACTGGATTAGGGTGACAGTTGCACAGGTCTACAATTTTACTAAAAAAATCAAAGAAGGGTACACTTAAAGTGAGTAAATTATATGGTATGTAAATTATACCTCAAAGAAACTGTTTTAAAAAATGGCAGCATTTAGTCTGGCAGTGAAAATTCAGGAATGTTGGGCAATAGGCAATCCATCAGTGAATGAGAATAAGGATTTTAAAAAAAAGAGCACAGAGAGAAAAGATTGTCAACAAAAGTCTACTTTGGCATGAAGCAATGCATGTGAATAATATCAATCTTTCCCTATAGGGTGGCTTTGCATGGACCTTCAGGGGAGCCACCAACACTTATTATAGGAACTGGATCTAAGATTTAAGTGTGACAAGATTCTGCATGTGGATTCACAGCATCCAATAACATTTATACATAAACTGATAATGCTATAGCATTAGCCCCCAGAGATCTCCCATTTCAAATGATATGCTAGCTTTATAATTTAACTCATAGCAACAAGGAGTGGGCAACTCACTCTAGCACAGACTTAATAATTCACTAACCACTGGGAGACACTCCTCAAGGGGTCCCTTGGATTCCTATATGTCTTTGTAGGAATCCCAGACTGCAAGGCTCTGGATGTTCTTTACCTGGGGTATTTCTCAAAGTTGTCTTGTCAGTGAGCACCCCAGAAGGATGAGGTGACATCTCCCCAACACAGAGCTGGCTTGCTTATCAGTTGCTATAAAGAGATGGGTCCCAGGTTTGGTCCTGGGTATCCATCTGTGCCTGCCCACATCACCCCTGTGGGAACTGGGGCTCAGGGAACCAATGCGGCTTGCTGACACTCTGGCTACAGCTCTTGCTGTGAGTAATAAAGTCTTTCATCTCTGAGCCAGGAGTCTCGTGTCTTCTGCCAGTATCCACGAAACTGGCAGGTAAAAAGTAAGGTAGAATCCCAGATCCTTCACAGTTCTTGACATTTAACTCAACGCATATTTTACTAACCCATAGGAAGAAAACAAGTCTAAACTTTAAAGCCTGATCTCCATTATATCTCAGAATTTTTATTAGCCAAATCACATTGCTCACTCTCCATGAGTGGGTCTTATGAAATCTAATATTCACACTGCTGTGTGGCCTAGAATGGTACAGCATAAAGTTAAAAACAGGCCAATGATTTTGAAATCTAATTACAAGATCACTTCTGTGGGGAAGAAAATATGAGACGAAATTCAGAAACCCATTAAGTTTTCATTTCAGCTAACTCTCCTGCTGGGACAATAGGCCCTTGACAGAAAGGAGCTGAAACATGGCTTCAGGAAGACCTGAGGAGGGGGTCTAGCTCTACAGTAACAACAGACAGGCAAGGGTGTGGTCAGAGTCAAGCTCCACCATCCGCTGGCTGTGCGGCCTTGGTTACCTGACTTCACCTCTCTCTGCTTCAGTGTCCTAATCTATACAATAGCGATGGCTAATTACATCACCATCATAGTGTGGCTGCAGAGATGAAGGACCACACGGGTGGCACTGTGCCTGGGCCTGGAGGCTCTACCACTCTTGACTCTCCTCAGGTGGCTCCGGGCACGGCCACAAGAGGGGCGTAGCTCACCTGTGGGAGGTCAGCACCGCAGCACAGCCTTCCCGAACCGCCTTCATTATTGTTTTCCACAGGTACCGCTTAGAGCAGGGATCCATCCCAGAGCTGGGCTCGTCCTGAAGGAGAGAAACACACGGTATGGGCGTCCGGAGAATGCACGTTGCAATACACATATTGCCATGTGAGGCCAGGCCCCAGACAAGAGGAGATCCCAGCTCTGGCTCTGGTAGGCAGCTCTCTGTGGCAGCCCTGCACTGCACTCAACAAAGTCAGAGCAAATCTTCACATCAGCTAAGCTCCCCTTGGGGATCCGGTTAGGCGGGCCGATGTTTTCAAGATGCACCCTCAACCTCTATAAAATTTCAAAATGCTATACCCTAGGAAGACATATGATAGCAGAAAAAGGCTGCATTCATTTAGCAGCATCAAGTAAAGTAAAATTTCTTGGAACCTGAAGCTTTCTCCTTCAATAAACACCTAAGCACTTCTTACTTGAGCCACTTCTGAGAGAAATGTATCTAGACTGTATGATGCATTTCTGTGCTTTTCATAGTCAGAGAGAACTAAACACATTTTTCTTAAGAGCTTTGGGTCATCTACTTCCCCAAAGAAACAGAAGAGAAGTGGATAAAAAATGACACTGAACAGGAAAACAAACACCTGGTGTTTCCCGCAAATCAAGTGATGTATGTGTATAGTGATAAAAATAAGTAAATAGAAGATGTGAGCATGCACTGCTTGGTGAAAGAGTTGGATGTGTAATTCTAAGTTTTTCCAATCCCCACATTGGTGTCAGCTGTGAGAGCCACCTGTCTTCTCTCAGGGGAGAACTCTAAAGGTCCCCAACGCACATCTTTAACAAGATGCCCTAAACACTCACCATCATCAAAGCCACTAAAGCTTATTAGGGGCCACACACTTAATGTGTATTATTTCATGGATTGCTTTCAACAACTTCAATAGACAGACACTATAATCAGGAGCATTTTCAGATGAGGAGGAAACACGTATAGAATGTGCAAGCCTGCACATGGGGACTTGCAGAAGTGGAATCTGAACCCCGGCAGTTGACTGAGTCCCCACCTTGAGCGCTATGCCTGAGTCCCGGGCTACCAAAGCAGCTGAGAGCCAGAATGCATAAAAGAAGGTGAGGGGTTGTGGGGAGCTGGGGACATGCTCCAGGGCAGAGGCCCCCATCCCAACTGATGAGATGTGCCAGGTGAGGCTGAGCATGGGGAAACTCTGCTAATGGTGACAAACAGCCATGTTTTGTGAACCCTTCAATGCAAGCCCCCCTCCTCTTGTAAGGAAAATGTAGTTTGTAAACTGCAGAATTGTGCAGCTGTTAGTTTTTGTTATTAGATTTCAGAATACGGAATTGTGCAATAGTCCTTGATTTTGGAACTTGCCAAAAAGCAAACCTAGAGCAAGTAAAAGGGAAATTCAGGTCAGATTCCAGAAGACAACCCATAATGATAGGGCCATCTTCCAGTGCGGGCCTTCTGAATCCCCTCTAATTCCCCCACTGAAATTCTGTTTCCATTTAACGAACAAGAAAAGAAAAATGAAGGAAAAATTTATTCTGTTTCCCACGCTTTTCGATGCTCCTCAGACTTTCCACAAGTGTGATGCCCTGGATGCACTCTAGGGATTAGAATCCAGTCTATGGCACTCAAACAGTGACTTTCATTGATTGTTTGAAGGATATTACTTTTAGCTATTTTTGATATGCAAGATAATTGGCTCTATTTCTTGACAATAACCACCTCCAACTAACCTTTCATCCAGCCAAACAGAATTAATTGTAGTTCCCAGATTGCAAATGGCCTTGTCTCAAGGCCATTGCACACACTCCACTCTCTTGCTGGACACCCTCCCCTCCCCACTATATCCATCCTACACCCCAAAACCCACCCTCAAGATTCACCATGAACAGTGTCACCACAGCTATGACAATCATATATCTGCAGGTAGAAAAAGACTTAAAAGCAATATGATACTAGAAAAATATATTGGTTTTCAGATTACAGGTGAATTCTAATATTCTTTTAATACTGTTTTTAATGTTAAAATTTTATTGAATCTTCAATTTGATAAATAAAAGTGACTCTATCAAAAGATAAAATCTGATTACTGTAAAGTTCCAGTGGTATTTTAGATTCTGTTTGGGAAATGTTGACTTAGGGCAAAAGAGTTTATTAGTTCAGAGAACTAACACTGCAAATTTTGAATTTCCTCCCTGAGACAATTCTGATAGGTTAAAGAATCTTATTTGAAGACATCAGCATATCGCTGAGACCTCTGCTGCTCACCAATAAAAGCAGGTCAGGTTTCCCCAGCAGGGCCAGGGCTGTAGAGAGCTTCCGCTTGGTTCCCCCACTGTATGTAGCCACGGGTTTGTCCACGTGGGCTTCCAGGTGTAAGCGCCTCACCAAGTCCCCAGCAACCTGGAAGAGAGGAGTTCTCCATGAACGCACCCCCATTCACCAAGGGTTCCCACACACACCTGGTTCTCAGCCTGGAACCCTGCTCCTTCCTCCCCTGGCCCACGGTCCCCCCCCACACACAGGCCAGGGCAGCTCCTGACACGCCTCCCTTCTCCAGCCAGGGATAAATGAGAATGAACAGATGGGGGTTTTGCCTGGACTAAGCCAGGTTTTCTGTGCCTGGGCGTCATCGAAGTGATCAAGCGTGGGCCCAGATGAATATCCACACTGAAGTGAGGAAAGACAAGTAAGCCAGAATAGAGACTGAGAAGGAACTGAACAGGAATAACACCGAGAGAGAGAGAAAGAGGGGACAGAGGGAGAGGGAGAGAGAGAAAGGGAGGGAACTTCAAGGGAGCAGAGGATTAAGGAGGGAGTTTCAATATTCACACAGGAGAGAGAGATCCCCGTTCCACTGAGAAGCCACTGCCAGAGACTGCACAGTCAGAGTTGGGTTTATAAAGTAAACAGAGGTGGGGAAAGACGAGAGAAGTGTTTCTTATTTGTGGCTGCCGGGAACCGTTTTATCAAGTCTTGAGGATGGTGACTACACATCACCAAATACACCACCCTCGGCCCCAGGGACATTCTGACTCTCCCCAAGTACTTCAGGTATGTTCACAGCTTCTTTGTCCTCCTCCACCTTTCAACATGGCATTTTTTCATACACCCTCAGAGGCACAGCTCATTTCCTCATCTCTCCTCCGCAGAAATAACTGCCCCCTTCCATGTATGGTAGGTCTATACACACTTCCACTCGGCACTCCCCACTGTAATTTGCACCATGCTATATTTTGTCTGTTTCCAGGTCTGTCTGCTGTGTGGATTGGTTCCTCTGGGGGCCAAGATTAACCAACTTCTTTGTTTCCAACTCTGCATAATTTAAAAATTTTGTGAACAGTTTTATTTAACTCTTGTGACCATAAAGGTATTAACATAGATTTGGTTTTTAGATTTCATCATATAATCAAACCGGTCAAGATTTTATCTTAATTCAAATATAGGAGAAGTGGGAAAGACTCTATAGGACTATAAAGAGGGACTAATAATTGCACATCCTAAATAAATAAAACATAGTTTTAGACTAACGTATATACTTTTTTGGATAAATGTACAAAATTTGGATAACAATAATGGTGATAATGACAATGACGAAATACTAAGAACCTCTAAAAATATTAGGACAATATTTATGCCTCCCAATAAAAACTCTCAGCATAAACTGCTCTATTGCCTTATTTGTGCAGCCTCAAAATAACAAAGAAAGAGTTAAGAATTGCAAGGACTGGTTTAGTTGTCAAGTAGTATAAGGCAAGGAAATTCAGATTTTAAGGCCCAAAAGATTCATGAAGATAGTCCTGAATCTCCTAATATCTGGCAAAAAACACCATCTTGAGGTCAGTAGTTTGTTCTTGTTGGAAACAATAACATTGTTTTTCCCAAGTTGGTTTACATGAACCATTCTTTTCCATGGCTCCATTCAGTCCAATTATTTCAATTAAGATATAAAGTAAACAAAAATGTATTGAAATAAATAAAAAATTGTTCAAACAAAACAACTGATTCAAACAAGCGAACAACCAAAAGTACTAATGGCAGTGCTAGAGGATGGATGAAGAGACACAACGGCTGGCATTGCAAGAATTAGAGAGATGACAGACTGTGGCCATTGTTCTTCTCAGGGAGAGTCTTTCAGAAGAATAAGACCAGTCCATGGGTGAACATTCACAAGGGAGAGAGGGAAGGGGGCGAAGGAGGCTTCCTGGAAGACGAGGCACTGTCTGCATGAACAAGGAGGAAGCCAAGAGAACGGCAGGCTCTGTTATGAAGCTCACACTTGCTGGGAGGCAAGCACTAACAGCTGTGGGGCCAAAAGAGACACATTGAGAAAATGACATTTTGGGTTATTTTTAGGTCCAAAAAATTACTAAAAAAGATTGAAAATATAATGTGTATCAGAAAGAAATTTTTATTTTGCTCCCATCCACCTTAGTCAAAGACTAGCAATATGTAAATAAAATCTGATAAACAGAAAAAAGAAATAAAAATAATAAAAGCACCAGTTCCATAGAAAGGCACTTCAGAAGGATAAGAAAACTTTTGTGTGAACTTGCCAAACTATTATTGCTTATTTTTATGAAACCAGGAAACATATGTCACGTTTTCCCAATTTCACAAAAGGTTAAATGTTGCAGCCTGCAATTCCTCTATAGGTTAACCATAGGAAGGAGTCCAGAACACAGGAACAAATGTATGGGTTTAGTCTAATGCTTTCTGAATGTCATGTTTTCAGAAAATAACTGAAAATGGTCAAATAAGAAATATTTTGTTGCAGTCTTTTCTGCACTCAGGCCTCTTGTCAAAATAACGGCAAACCTAATGCCTTAGCAACTATGGCTGGCAAAATACTGTCTAAACCCCAAATGTCATAAGTTAATGGAATCTCTCCCTCTTATTAGGTATTTTTCTCCCATAAAGTTGTAGAAATTATGCTGCACTTAAGGCAAGAGTTTGAGATTCATTCGTCTTTATATCCCCAGTGCCTCGTCGTGTTCAACACATTGTAGGACTTTGATAAATATCATTTGAACCAAAAACAAATTGCCCAGAGATTCATATACACATCCGTTTGATTCTAAAGCCAGTTTTTCCACTAGCACACATGATGGCCTCATCAACGTTTCCTGTAAGATTAAAAATCAAAATGAAGAGTTAGTATGAAAAAGGAGCCAAGGATTTAAGGCACAAATGCCTTTCCCTCTATTTCCTCCTGGTCCCCATTCCTCCTGTCATAACTTCTAGCTACTTCCAGAAAAACTGATTGTGAATGGAAGAAAACTTAGGATAAAAGTCAGGTCTATAGAGAAGATTATAAGAAATAAGACATGGTAGAGTTCTCCCTGGCAGGTATTTGCAAGTCCTAACAAAAATAAGATGGCTAAGGGCCCCACGTCTTCTATGACAGGGAAAACTGAAATACAGAAATACCAGGCCTCGTGCCCATCGGCAGTGTGGTTTGGCGGTTTGGGAAGGCCTAACCCTTAAATTATCTCACACGTCTCTCTAGCAAACCAGACCAAGTCACCGCTGTCTCCTGAGAAGTTTACTATAACTTAATGTGATTTTTTTATCAGGTTAACTGAACTCAGGCTCAAATATGGACATTGTACAAAACTATGTAGTACGGACAATGCAGAAAAACTGAAAGTCATTACATTAACCTGCCAAACCTAAATTCAAGCCAAATGAAGAAATGCCCCTTTTTCTCATCTGATTGAACTTGGAGGGTTGGGAGAGTGAGCACTGTGCCTACACACAGAAACGACCAGTGGCTGGGGCAGGATGTGAGCTGGGCCCTTGGAGTGCAGATGGAGCGCAATGCAGGGCAGGGCTCTGAGGGAGGAGGCGGGAGGGTGCTGTGAGCTGTCGGGAAGGACCTGTCCCTCAAGCACAAGAGGTCTCCTTCTAGAATCAGAGGAGACAACTGTGGCTGCCCATGTCACAATGAAAACAGATGGCAGCCTGGAGAAGAGAACTGTTGCGAGGAACAGATACGCCAGAAAAGAATCCCTACCACATCCATGAGTTCTGAAGGACAGGAGGTGAGGTGCTCACCCAGGGCCCAACTCCAGCCCTAAGGAGGGCGAACAAGAGGAGCTCCTTGTTAGAGGAGCATCACAATAACTCCGTGTTTCCACTTTTTCAGTCACCGAAGGGGCAGAGAAAACAAGACTGAGCTGTGCATGGCACTAGAAATCCCATCTTACACAACTAGCAACCTGCATCTACTAAGCCTCAGGAGAGCGTCCTCATCAAGAACATGTTCTCTGGAGCTGGTTTATCCCATTTCAAACAAAAGCGCACCACAGTCTAGCCATGTGATGTGGGTAGGTTTCCTATCCTACCTCTGTCGCAGCTTCCCCATTTCTAAAATGGGGAATAAGCATTTTATCTACCTCATAGCGTTGCTGCAAAATACTTAGAACAGTGCCTGACCCAGAACGGACACTGAAATATCAGCTAAAACTATTGTTTTGTGTTGTTTTATAATAATCCCCTCTAGTCACCTTGTGATAAGCATATTAAAATAGACATGCCTGCCTTATAGTTCAAATACCTATAACACTGATAGGAGAGGGAAGTTTGCTGTAAAGAGGGCCAACCCCTCTGGGAACACATGGGAAAGTGTGCTGACATCTCAGAAACCTCTGAGCCAGTAGCAATCCTGTCTGCAAAATCAGTACAGTTTCACGAATGAAATGAAGCCAATTCTTAATTGGCGACCGTTAAAATAACTTTTCTCAGTGGAGGAGCTCAGAAAAACGAGCCTGTAAGACAGCTGAGAATCAGAAGGCAATTGCCCTGGATGACAGGAAGCACCAGGCCTTTCTATATTAACAAGAATTTTTTCAAAGGGCACATTTTCCCCCGGGACAAGAAAAGGGGCCAACTTATGGCGTTTGCCAAGCATCCGCCTCTTTAATCAACAACCAACGAGGGGGAGCTGACAGAGATACACACTTATTAAAGACTGAGCCAGCCATTAGTCCTGGCTTTCAATAGCTGCTTAACTGCAATAAGCAGGGCTCCTGTTACCTTAGGTTTATTAAGATGGGAGGTGGGTGAAAGGTGAAAGGACCAGGATCCCTCCAAGGATGTGGAGAGATTCTGCTCTAGTTTCACTTAAAGTTGCAGAGCATGAATAGGAGGTGAAGGCTGGAGCATTACACAACAGCACAGAGAATGCATTTTCACGTTCTAGTGAAGGCGATGGCTGTTCGTTTTGTCTCCTGTGAATCCTAAGATGCTCCATCTCCTGCAGAATCTCATTGAAAATACAACACATAAGCTCCTTTTTCAGAATCTAGAAATGCAAGGAGCACCCCAGACTCTCTACAACGAGGTGCGGAAAAGGTAAAACTGTGCCTGAAGCACCTGCCTTTCCCGTGGCTTCCCACTTGGAATGTCCTCTGAGCTGTCTTGTCAGCTCTGCTTCGCTGACCACTCTTGCAACAGGGAGAACGGCAGCTGCCTCTTGCACCCCCCCCCCCCTCACAGACAGTGATGGAGGGAAGGGGGTGGGGGAGTCTGCAGCTTGTGTCACTTCTCCATCCTCCTGAGCCCACCCAGGAAGGAGCCCAGCCAGGCAGCTGTCAGACCACTCACCAGGAAGTCACCCTTTCCAACAACAACCAACCAAATTCCACACATAGTCTGAGCACCTTCCCTGCAGGTCCCGGGGATACAATGTCTTCGATGTTTGCTCCCGAATACAAAGTAATAATCCCATAAATGTGAGAGGCACTTAGAGAGGAGACAAAGAAACGACGATTCAAAGCTGCTAATGATGTCATGCTTTAATTCCTACCACAGGACTTCCTTGCACAGATCTATTTCAAACACATCATAGAAATACAAATAACCATTTTATTGTGTTTCCTTCAGCATAATCACACTGGAAATATCTTTCAGGTATGCTTATCTAATACTGTGGTTCCTCCTGCTCATGGGGAGAGAGCTGAATTGGGACGGGAGGTGTTGGTCAAGCATTCCTCAGCAGGTCCCCTTTTCTGGAAAACCCCAAGAGGCCTTACCTCAGGGATGCACCTCTTTGGAATCCCACGTAGGCTGCAGTAATAACGGAGGTGTTCCCAGCCGGTCAGGAGCTCGTCCAGGGCGTCCTGCTGTGGACAGTAGCCAATGCGAATGCCTGCCGCTCCAGCAAAAGAGAGATCCACATCCTCTCTGAGAAGAGAAGCAGCAGCACAGTCCAGAAACTTCGACATGTCAGACAAACATCACCCATTCCTTAAATCTGGCTCATCAATAAGAAGTTCATTGCGGTTTCTCTAATGCATTTAATTAATTCAGCATAAATGGGTTCAATGAATGAGTAGCAACCCACGTGTCTAGTAGAACAGGCTTGGCTCTGAGGCCATGATTGCTTTATATGTTCCAGAAAAACATATGTAAAGCACAGAGCTTTGTATTTGGCATATGGTTGTTATAGCTGTTATTTCCCCCACCACACAATTTATATGACGCCTAATAAATCAATGTCATTCAGAATCAGATTTTAAAAAATAATTTTTATTATACCCATTATATATAATCTGTCATTGACCACATGGAAAGATAGAGAGATAAAAAGGGAAATGCATGGCCCCAGCACTCAGCAATTTCTACCATTAATATTCTGGTGTTAATCCTTCGAGCGTGGCTATGCTACATGAGCCTAGGGTGAAGATGATACAAAATTGTATCTACTTGAATTAAAAAAACTTTTTTGATTTCTAATTTTAACATTAATACACACTCATCATAGAAAATTATAAACTACTCAAACGTGAGCACATTTAACATTTTGGTTGTTTTCTCATTGACTTGCTTCTATCCATTTTTATGTAAATAAAGTTGTGCTGACTATAAAGATTCTTATGAACACTTAGAAAGGAAAATTTCTATATCCTAAAGGGAAAATAATGTAAAGGAAGACTTGGTGAGAAATCATGACGGCTACAGAGGCAATTATTAGCACATCTCGCAAAAAAAGAAAAAAAGCCAGTAAATCTAGTCATTCAATGATCGTTAATATTTTTATTTTTATTAAAGTAATATATGCACGTGGTAACAAGTAAACAATGCAAAAGAACTTGGTTTTGTGTAAAAGTTTCATTTCCCCACTTCATTTTGTTTTCCTTTTCTAAATCTTGGAAACGTTACTCCCTCAGATGTTTTTTTTCTAAATTGTGTATAGCAAAACATTTACTTCAGCCTGATTTTTGCTACTTGACAGAAAATATTTTTTCCATTCAGTCACTCTTACAAATTTTCTTTATCAGTGTATTTTTAGAGATTTAACAAGATATATATCAGTGTGGATCTTTTTCAACAACCTTACCTGGAATATTAGAATTTTGTGAATTATTTCAATATATAATATCAGACTTTGTTTTGAACCACTGCCTCTGGAAAAATTTCACTCAGTAACTTTTTTTTCTATTCTCTTTTTTATTTTTTCTTGGTGACAAAATACGCATAATGTAAAATTTATCATTTTAGCCATCTTAAGCTATAAAACAGTGTTATTAAGTGCATTCGCAATGTTGTGCAACTGTCATTGCTATATAGTTGCAGAACATTTTCAACACCCCAAAAGGAAATCCCATACCCATTAATTAGTCACTCCCCATTTCCTTGTCCCTCCAGCCCCTGGCAACCACTAATCTGCTTTCTGTCTCTATGGATTTGCCTATTCTGGATAGTTCACATAAATTGAGCGATACAATATATGGCCTTTTGTATCTGCTTCTTTCACTTGGCATGCTTCACTTTTCACTTAGCAAGGTTCATCCATGTTATAGCGTGAATCAGTACTTCATTCTGTTTTCTTCTAATGGTAGAAATGCACACAGCAGTTATGTAAAAAAAAAATCACCACTTCCATTTCATAGATGATAAAAATGAAGCCCACACAATGCAGCTGACCCCGAATTCACTATAGGACAAGTTCTAACACGTCCACCTTGCACTTATGTGTCTACCAGTTTTTCATTCTATGACATTTATGTAGAATGATAAAAGAACTATATTAAAAAGGAAGAGAGGAGGTAATTATTTTTTACTCAGCAGACTTTAATTTTCAGAACAGTTTAGGTTTAGGGGAAGTTGAATACAGGCAGTCCAGCACACTGCCTCACCCAGAATCTCCCTAATGAACATCTTGCATTGGTACAGTAGCTTTGTTACAACTGATGAACTAATATTGATACTTTTATTAACTAAAGTGCATACATTAGGATTCACATTTCGCGTTGAACATTCTAATGAGTTTTGTCAAATTCATAACGTCATGTATCCACAGTATCATACAGAATACTTTCACTGCCTTAAAAATCCTCTGTGCTCTGCCTATTCATGTCGCCCTCCCTCCTCTCCAGCAACCACTGATCTTTTTACTGTTTCCATAGTTCTACCTTTTCCAGAATGTCCTAGAGTTGGAATCATACAGCATGTAGTCTTTTCAGATTGGCTTCTTTCACTTAATAATATGCATTCAGGTTTCTCAACATCTTTTCATAGCTTGATAGCTCATTTCTTTTTCTCTCTGAGTAATATTCCATTATTTGGATGTAACAGCTTATTTATTCATTCACCTATGGAAGGGCATCTTGGTTGCTTACAATTTTTGGCAAGTATTAATAAAGCTACTGTAAGCATTAGTCTACAGGGTGTTTTTGTGGACATAAGTTTTCAAATCATTTGGATATATACCTACAAGCACAATTGCTAGATTGTATGGTAAGCCTATGTTTAGCTTTGTAAGAAACTGACAAACTCTCTTCCCAAGTGGCTGTACCATTTTGCATTTCCAATGAATAAGAGTTCGTGTTGGCTCTGCTTCCTTACCAGCATTTGGTATTGTCAGTGTTTTCAATTTTAGTCACTCTAATAGCTGTGTAGTGGTATATACTTGTTGCTTAAATTTTCAATTCCCTAATGACATATGATGTTGCACATCTTTTTATATGTTTTCTATACATCCACTTTGGTGAGTTGTTTGTCCAGATCTTTTCACCATATTCTAATTGGATTATTTGTTTTCTTATTGTTGTGTTATTTGTATCTTTTGGATACAAGTTCTTTATCAGCTATATGTTTTGCAAATACACACTGATTCTCCCAATCGGTGGCTTATCTGTTCATTCCCTTAAATGTGTCTTTCACAGAGCAGAATTTTCTTTTAATGAAGTCCAACTTATTCTTTGACTTATGTGTTAATTAGAACTGTGTCATTTAATGCCCAAATATTTTGGGACTTTCCAGCTATCTTTCTTTTATTTCTAGTTTAATTCTGCTGTCACCTGAAAGCACACTTTGTATGATCTCTACACTTCAAAATGTCTAAGGTGTGTTTTATGGCCCAGAATGTGATCTGTCTTTGTGAATGTTCAATGTGAGCTTTGAAAGAGTGTGTGTTCTACTATTGTTGGACAAATTATTCTATAAATATCAATCAGATCCTGTTGATTAGTGGTGCTGTTTAGTTCAACTAGATCTTTACTCGTGTTCTGCCTGCTAGATCCATCAATTGCTTATAGAGGAACGTTGAAGTCTCCAACTATAATAGTGGATTCACCTAGTTCTCCTTGCAGTTCTACCAGTTTTTACCTCACGTATTTTGACACACTGTTTTTAGGTTTATACACATTAAGGGTTGTTAAATTTTTTTACAGAATTGATCCCTTTATCATTATGCAAAGTCCCTCTTTATCCCTAAGAATTCTCCTTACTCTGAAGTCTGCTTTGTTTGACATTAATGTGTCTACTCCAGCTTTCTATTAATGAGTGTTATTACAGTGCATCTTTCTCTACCCCTTTACTTTTCATCTCTCTGAGTCTTTATACTTAAAGTAACATTCTCTCAGACAACACATAGTTGGATCTTGTTTTTTCATCCACTCTGGTAGTCTCTGTCTTTTAATTGGTGTATTTAGACCATTACATTTAAAGTGATTATTGATATAGTTGGATTAATATCAACCATATTTGTAACAGTTTTCTATTCACTGCCCTTGTTTTTTTCTCTTTTTCACCTTACTCTTTTTCTGCCATCTCTGGTTTTAGTTGAGCATTTTATGATTCCATTTTCTCTCCTGTCTTAGTATATCAGTTATACTGCTTTTTAAAAAAATTTTAGTTGTTGTTCTAGAGTTCACAATATACACTTACAACCTTTCCAAGTCCACTTTCAAATAAAAATAGACAGGAAGTGCCTTATAACACAATATTCCCAATTCTTCCCTCCCATCCCTTATAATATTGCCGCTATTCATTTCATTTAGCCATAAGCTTTAATAGCTGAATACACTGTTGCTATTTTAAACAAACTGTTACCTACAAGATCAATTAAGAATAAGAAATATAAAAGATTTTCTTGTATCTTCATTAATTCCTTCTCTAATGCTCTTCCTTCCTTTATGTAGACCTGTGTTTCTGACTTATATCCTTTTCCCTCTTTCTGAAGAACTTCTTTAAACATTTCTGAAAGACAGGTCTATTGGCAACAAATTCCTGCCATTTTTATTTGTCTAAGAAAGTTTTTATTTCTCCTTCATTTTTGAGGGATAATTTCACTGGATTCAGAATTCTAGGTGGGTGGTTATTTTTATTTGAACACTTTAGTTATTTCACTCCCTCTCTTCTTTCTTTCATGGTTTCTGAAAAGAAGCCCAATGTAATTCTTATCCTTGTGTTCTGTTGCTAAGTTACCCACCCCCCAACCCTGGTTTCTTGCAAGATTTTCTCTTTGTCTTTGATTTTCTACGGTTTGAATATGATATGACTAGGTGTAGACTTTTCGGTATTTATCCTATTTGGTGTTCTCTAAGCTTCCTCAATCTGTGCTTTGTTATTCATCATAAATTTTGAAAAAATCTGTCATTATTACCTCAAATATTTTTTTAATTCTTTCCCTTTTTTTCCTTCTAGTATTACCATTATGCATCTGCTATAGGTTTTGTAACTATCTCACAGCAATTTGATATTCTATTCTTTTCATTCTTTTTTCTCTTTATGTTTTAGTCTTGAAAGTTTCTATTAATCTATTTTCAAGTTCTCTGATTCTTTCCTCATCTGTATCCAATCAACTGATAAACTCATCAAAGGCATTCTTCACTTCTGTTACAGTGTTCTTTATTTTTGGCATTTTTTAATTCTTATAGTTTCCATCTCTCTGCTCATAT